CGAGAGCGGCAGGGCAGAAAAAAGAGCAGGGGGGGAGCAGCTCGCTCCGCCCTGGCTCGCCTGCCGAGACCCGGGCGGCCTGGCCGAAGGCCCTGCGCTCCGCCTCGGCCCGCCTGCCGCGACAGGGGCGGCGGGGGGGGGGCTCGCGGGAGCCGCGAGCCGACGCCGAGTCCGTCCGGCCCGACTCGGCTCGGCTTCGCTGCTCCGACGATCCGATGTGGCCCGGTGCTGCACGGCGCTGTTGTGCATGCTGGCGCGGCCGTGCCGATTCGGTGCGGGCTCCGCGCCGATGCGGCCCGATTGGGCGCACGCTCCGACCCGATGCGATGGGTCGAACAGATGCTGACTGCTACCGCCCTCTGCGCCGCAGTCGATGGTCCTCGTGACGTGTCTTAGCCCAATGTGTGTGTGTGTGTGTGTGTATGTGCGTGTTTCTGTGCGCGCGTGTGTGTGTGTGTGTGTGTGTGTGTGTGTGTCTGTGTGTGTGTGTGTGTGTGTGTTTGTGTGTGTGTGTGTGTGTGTGTGTGCGTGTGTTTGTGTGCGTGTGTGTCTGTGTGTGTGTGTGTGTTTGTGTGTGCGTGTGGGTGTGCGTGTGGTGTGTGGGTGTGGGTGGGTGTGGGGGTGTGCGTATGTGCTTCTGGCCTCACAGTGACGCATCTTTTCACCACCCGCACCTGTCTGTACGGCCCTGGCTGGACCCTTTCATCGCGGCGCGTTCGACTAAGTTCGTCCACAATGGGCACTTCCAGCTGCCGAGCGCGCCTGAGGTTCCTCTGCGCCGCCGACTTACAAAGTGCGTGCGTGTGTGTTCACTGCGTTCATCTCCGCCGATCGCTACACCGCCTGCGCCGTCTTGAAGTCCTTCGATGCACAAGCGCCCGTTGGCGCTGACACACTCTTGGAAACTTGCCGACCCAGGCACCCGAGGATGAGGAGGAGGAGGAGGAGGAGGAGGAGGAGGAGGAGGAGGAGGAAGTGGAGGAGGAGGAGGAGGAAGTGGAGGAGGAGGAAGTGGAGGAGGAGGAAGAGGAGGAGGAGAAGGAGGAGGAGGAGGAGGAGGAGGAGGAGGAGGAGGTGGAGGAGGAGGAGGAGGACGTACCCAGGCTCCGTGACCCGCCCGCGCACCGCGCCCGTGAGGCGGAGCAGGCCGGGCCGGGCGCAGAACCCGTGGGCTCCGGACAGCACCGCGCCCCGTTGCGAGGCGCGCTCCCGCGGCGCCCGCGGCGCCGCCCGCGGCGGCGCCCGCTGCGCCCGCGGTGTCCGCGGCGACGACGGCGACGAAGACGACGACGACGTGACGACGACGGCGACGAAGAAGACGACGGCGACGACGACGACGTGACGACGACGACGAAGAAGACGCGGACGACAACGCCCGCGACGACGTGGACGACGACGCCGACGCCCACGACAACGCCGACGGCGGCGACGATGACGACGACGACGGCAGCAGCGGCGGTATCCGCCGCGCGCGCCGTCCTCATGGCGGACGCTTGGGACCATTGGCGGCCAGCGCAGGGCGTCTCTTGGATGAAGAGCTGGTCCTGGGGGGAGGCCCCTTCAGGACCTGCTTGCGATAGGTTCGCGCCGTGTCGACCCGCGGCGACCCCGCCGCTGGCGTTCAACGTTGAGCACCGCCAGCGACCCGGAATCGGTCGATGTTGAACGATCCGACGATTCGGGAACGGCCGATCGTTCAAGGTTGAACGAGCCCCGCGGTGTCAGGAACGACTGCCGAAGTCGGCACGACACTGACCTGCCGTACAAGGGTGTTCGCGGTTTTGTCGGTTCAGTTGTGTCGCAATCGGTTGCGTTCGGGCGGTTTCGTTCCGCCGGTTGTGGTGTCGTTGCCGCGTCGCTGCGCCCCTGTAGGCTGCTTTCGGTGTGTCGATTCTGGTCGTTGTCGGTTTCGCTGTCGGTTTTCGGTTTTGCTGTCGCCGTGCACGGCTTGATTTCTTTCGGGGGGTCCAAGAGTGGTAGGTTTCAGTCGGGCCTGTCCATCTACAGGAGGAATATTCAAATATAGTCCCCAAAAAAGTCAGTGGACGACTTTTTGATCTGACTATTTCGGAGTATTTTTTGTACAGTTTTTCACTTTTCGCCCGACATCTGCCTGGAGGGGGACATGCCCGACCGAAGGGTAGGGTACTACTGGGGGGGCCACGGCTCCCCAGATCAGGCCCCCCCCTTCTTCTGGCAGTGCGTCCCTTGGTCCCCGCCTCGTCCGCACACGTACCTCTGGCCATGATTTACCGCACCCCACCCCTCTCTTGGACGCCCCTCTCTTGTGGAGAGTTTCTCCGAAGGGCTTAGGCGGCCCGTCCTCCTCCTCCTCCTCCTCCTCCTTCTCATCCTTCTCCCTCCTCCTCCTCCTCCTTCTCCTCCTCCTCCTCCTCCTCCTCCTCCTCCTCCTCCTCCTCCTCCTCCTCCTCCTCTCCTCCTCCTCCTCCTCCTCCTCCTCCTCTCCTCCTCCTCCTCCTCCTCCTCCCCTCCTCCTCCTCTTCCTCCTCCTCCTCCTCCCCCTCCTCCATCTACAATTACTCAATATGAATACTACTCTCCCTCTTCCCCTGATGACGGAATGGGAGTAGCCGACCCCCCCCCCGCGTATTGTTTTTTTACACAGGTTTCCCCGGAGTTGGGTTTTCGCTTGCATTTTTTGCAAAATGCTGCTCTCGCTGAGGCGCCGGCCTCATTTTCGGGCCCCGCTCGTTCCGAATCGTGGTCCCGCTGCAGCGCTGGCCTCATTTCCGCCGGCGCCTGGGCTGCACGCCCGAGCCGGCGCCCGGGCCGGCGCTCGGGCCGCCGGGTCCGGAGCCGGTTCTGGCCGCCCCCGGAAAATGGAGTTCCCAGGCGGCGCCGAAAAAAGGCCATTCTAATACATATTTTTCTCTTGAAAATGGTAAATTTCTGCTTCCGGCGCCCGGGAGGCCTCCTGGGCCGATTCCGACGCCCAGGCCGGCGCCCGAGCCGGCGCCCGGGCCGGACGCCCGAGCCGGCGCCCGGGCCGGCGCCCGGGCCGGGTCCGGAGCCGGTTCCGGCCGGCGCCGGAAAATCGAGTTCTGAGGCGGCGCCGAAAAAAGGCCATTCTACGTATACACATTTTTTTTTGTTTTCTTCCCCAATTTCTGCTTCCGGCGCCCGGGGGGCCTCCCGGGCCGATTCCGATGCCCGGGCTGGCGCCCGAGCCGGCGCCCGGGCCAGATGCCCGAGCCGGCGCCCAGGCCGGCGCCCGGGCCGGGTCCAGAGCCGGTTCCGGCCGGCGCCGGAATATCGAGTTTCGAGGCGGCGCCGAAAAAAGGCCATTCTAATACACATTTTTCTTTTGAAATTCTGAATTTCTGCTTCTGGCGCCTGGGAAGCCTCCCGGGCTGATTCTGGCGTGCTTCCGCTCGTTCCGAATCGTGCTCCCGCTGCAGCGCTGGCGTCATTTCCGCGCTCCCGCTCGTTTCGACTCGTGCTCCCGCTGCAGCGCTGGCGTCATGTCCCGTGCCATGCCGCGGCACGCAATGCGATGCTAGGTTGATACTACGCTTCGCGGTGCTCGTTTACGCCATGCCATGCCGTGCTCTCCAATGCATCGCGTACCCTTTCGGGATCATTGCCCTGCTCGATATCCGACTGTGCGAGTAGAGAGGGGATCTGCGCCATGGTAAGGGATGGGAGGGAGGGGTAGGATGTCAGATATGACGCGAGCGCACCTAGCTTGCCTCCTCCCCCTCCCCCTCCTCCACCCCTCCTCCCCCTCCTCCTCCTCCTCCTCCTCCTCCTCCTTTTCCTCCTCCATCTCTTCCTTCTCCTCCTCCTCCTTCTCCTTCTCCTCCTCCTCCTCCTCCTCCTCCTCCTCCTCCTCCTCCTCCTCCTCCTCCTCCTCTTGCTCCTCCTCCTCCTCCTCCTCCTCCTCCTCCTTCTCCTCCCCCATCCCCTCCTCCTCCTCGGGTCGCCCGCGGCCTCGGGGGAATCCGTGTGCCCTCTCGGCCGCCCCCCAGTTCTCTTCCCGCCAGCTCTGGTGGGGCCATGCGGAGAGCTGCCATCGTTGGCGAACGACCTAACGAGGGCCTCCTTTAGGGCGCTGTTTCCTGCGCTCGCGGCGTCCCACTTCCCCGGCATTAATATAAACTTGTGGCGCTACGCGCGGATTTCTTGGATCCGCTGGGTCCCCTCCGGCGCCCCCCCCGGCGCACTCCGCGCGCCAGGGAGGGGGTCGGCGCAGATCGAAGAAATCTGCGCGGAGCGCCAGAAGTTTGCATGTTTGTGCCGCTTGATTTTTTTTTCAACGCCAGTCGCGATAACCCATGCATTGGTGAACTTGCTCCTCACCTTCGCCCACAGCTTCACCGCCCAGGGACGGAGTCCGTTCGCCCTGTCTCCCCCCGCTTCCTGACGTAGCAGGCTGACGAGCGTGACGAGCAGCTGCCACAGCCTCGTCCCCTTGCGCCCGATGTCCCCGATGAGCTGCCGCAGCGAAGACCCCGCGCTCGCAGGCGGCCGCTTGACCGCCAACACGCCCATCTGCTCGACTCCCGTCGCCTTGCTCGTAGCTATCGTGTCGATCGTCCTGTGCAGCGCCGCCACCGAGATGGGTGCCCAGTCCTCTTCCGCGTTGGCCTCTCTGGTGCATTGGAGCGCCCCCAACAGCTTGCGCCTCGACGTCCGACTGGCGCATATTCTGCTCCACTGATCGCCTTTCCTGTCCACGCACTCCACCACGTTGCACGCAGCTGTGCCGGTGGCGCCGGTCTCGTTGTCGCACCTCGGCTTGTCCTTGGCCTTTCGGTGCAGCTTGCCAGTGCCCTTCGCCACCTGCTCCTGTACCCAGTCAGTTCACCCGATCAGCGCCTCCTTCTCCTTGCGCCTCTTCCCTTGCTCGGCCGTGGTCAGGGCCGCCATTCCCAGGCTCTGCAGCTGCGCGTTGCTTATGGCCGGCACCTCGCTGAAAGGCGTCCTCCACTTCCAAGGTGTCTGACCCTTCTTTGCCGTACTGGTGCGTCTGCCGTGTC